CTTACGAACGCTGCATGGCCTAGGGCATTTCGCACACGCGGAGCGGAGCGCAAGAACGTGTTAATGGTAGAAGTTAAATGTAGGAGAAAAGCGAGCTCTGACATGACATGAGATAGCTAAGGAATCTCTACTGAGACTATCTTGGCGATAGTCAAGTTTCGTTGCGAGACGCTTTGTAGAAGAATTAAGTTGGCGTAAAAGTATACCGACGAACAGACAACCACATGGCGTCGCAAAAACGAAGGTTTCTCCCTAGCTTTCGGTTCTCAAGACCACGTATCGCCGTGAAATCGTGTCAACATGCGAGAAGTGTTACGAAATACATCTTGTCTCCAAGACTTGAAGAAAGTTCTTACATAGGTGATCAGCTTGGGATGGATTATACGGTTTGTTATGCGACTCTCCTCACTGGTAAGAATGCAACAGGACAACGAAGGAGCCAGTAAACTTATAGTCCGAGATTTCCTGAACGACATGCCATGGATCAGCTTCAAGCTAGTCCATCAGCTAGCGCAATAAAAATGAATTCGGAATCGGCTCATCGACAGACTCGACCAATGTGACTCAAATATGTGACATCTCGAGCGTACGTATGCTCGAAAATTCTTTATCAAGATAAAAGACATAACTGAAAAACTATGACATTCTCATATATGAGATAATCATGGAGCTGCAACATAGCACTAAACCTTTGTCCCCGATATACCGTCAACACAGGCTTGCCCACTTATCGCAATTTAACTGGACCAGCTTCCCAAATAGTCCAGCTCCATGGCCAGGTATGGCTATAGACCAGAACATTGACCCATACGTGGAGGTTGAAGTGGGATTTGAATTCCCAAACATCCGGTTTGTGATCAACACTGTTGCCGAAGATGTCCACAGATATACCGGCTCCGACAACTATCGCCGAGACATCGATGCCCAGCTCACCATGTGCTTTGATATCACCCTTGTTCGCATACTTGACCCCAACTTGACCAGAGAGTGTGACTCTCAATGCAGGAACGATCCAGACTTTGATTATGAACGAGACCGACATCGCTATTTTCCCTTCGTAACGGCCACTCCCACCGCTGCCTGCACCCGTAAGACATACTTCAATGCGCAAGCTTGCGAAGCCAACACTAGCACCCCAAACTAGGGCGCATCCACCGGCTTCGAAACCAAAGAGTAGGACCTCCGTCTTCGGCTGCTTCAAATGGACTGTGACATTCATGTGAGCTCTATTTTCCTCATTCTCTTGATCGGTATAAGCCATATATAGCTCGAGGCCCATAAACGTGTTGTTGGAGTCGAAACCAACATACAGGCAGTATGAAGAGACCGATGTGGTCAAACCTCTCTTGCAAGCCGGTGGTAATTCAAACTCCTTCTTATCATCCTTGTCCTGTAGAGGAGAGTGATACTTATGCCGAAAGAACTCATGTGCAGCTGTGCCATTGGAGATACGAAAATAATCAATCGGTGCTACCGACTTATCTCCACGAATGTGAGTCTTGTTCGACCTCCAGTCGTGGCTCTTCCCATCGTTGAAAAATCGACGAAACTCTTCGCTAACCAAACGGGTCTTGTCGAATTCAACATCTAGTTGTGGCGCCTCCTCTTTTGCTGCTGCTTGATTGTAGCTCTGGACTATGCCGTACGCCGCGTGAATCTCCTTTATGGCATCATCCAAAGTTAATGCATCGTCGAGATCTTCCCAATAAGTGACCTTGGACTCGAGATAGATTTTTTCATCGAAGGTATTGATACCCAAGAGATCCACCATCTGCTTGTGATTCTCGTCAAGATAGAGAACCCAACTGTTACTGATCGCACCAGTCTGAGCGAGGGCAGTGAAGTTGAGACCCGATTTGGGATCCACACCTTCTACTCCACTTCTGGACCACATGTTCAGCTTGCGTTCACCGTCATCTATCAAGCCTTTATAGATCCAACCATCATCCTCGAGCGTACGATTGGCATTGAGCCTGCGAGAATTGGGCATATCATCCATCTTCCTGGTTCCCTGGTTTATGAGGAACGACTGTTTATTGAAGAATTGGGAGGTACTGAAGTGCGTCTCGTTCTGGACCATGAAGAGATACAGGTACGGGTGACTTGGCGCTGCTTGAACCACTGCTTGACCGTCCTTGGCGATGAAGATGTCTCGATGAACGGTGAACGACTTGTTATCATCCATACCAGGTAGGACCAGCCCTTCAGTCTCCATAGCCTTGGAGATGTGACATCCCATTGGGTTCCCTTTGACGTCCCTCAAGTCAAGATTACAGAAATGCGTCGTCTTCATCTGCATACGAACGTTGCCCATTTTGAAGGCATATGCTTCACCATGTATCAATAGGGCGACGAGGAGGATGTTCATTATCGAGATGGTGAACGGAGTCATAAAATTACTGTGATACCCGAATAAGTAATTCCAGTCAACTCGACGCTCATAAAAGAGTCAGGAAACCAATG